CCCACACGCCAGCCTGCCGCAGCTCCAGCCCCGCCCACACGCCAGCCGGCCACAGCTCCTGCCCCGCCCACACGCACGCCCACCGGCCGCAGCTCACGCACGCACGCAGCTCCTGCCCCGCCCACACGCCAGCCGCAGCTCCCGCCCGCACAATGGAAGCGACATCCGCCGGGACCGGCAACAGCACGCCGCCTTCCGGGACCTCGTCCACTCATCCCCCAGCCAGGTAAGACATCCCCCGAAAATAAGACCTAGTGTCTTATTTTCGGGGGAACACGGTAGCAGGCCAATCTGGAACCTGCTCAGCTCTGGTTGATACACTTTGGAAACCAAGAGAACTCATAAAACCTTTATAAGGGATAGTTTCCCAAGCAATTAGAGAACAGCACCATCTAGTGCAGCCATATGTACTACACAAGGCATTGACAAATCTTCCCAGGCATAGGAATTGGATACAACATGTCTTTGATTTGATGTATGCATGCCCCATCCCACAGGTGGCAGATATAGTTCTTAAAGTATATTCCCACTTCACCTATTGTATATGTTACATGTTCCCAATCAAATTGCATTAAAAAAATGCTACTTTTTATTGGGTTAGGGTTTCTACTTTACTCCTTAAGGCAGCGGTTCTCAACCTGTGGGTCGCAACCCCGTCGGGGGTTCGAATGACAATTTGCCAGGGGTTGCCGGGAGTCTTCGCTATTAGATAGCGGCTCCCAGCTGCCCGGGAGAGAAACCCTTTCTCCCAGAAAGGATTACTCTGCTCGACCGAGCAGAGTAAACCTTTCCCTGCGATTGTTTTTTTTATTTTATTCTGACAATCGGTAGACGCCGCAAGTCAGAAATAATTTTTACAAAATCCCCGTTGCAATGCATAGCTAGATTCCTATTGGCTAATTCACTTTGCAATAGCCAATAGCAAAGTAGCTATTGCACCCGCCCACTGCTGCTGTCAATCAGCAGAGGGGGACCTGCGGTTCTCCATCTAGTGATCGGCAACAGCAAAGGGGGGGTACAATAGCTAGTTTGCTATTGGCTATTGCAAAGTGAAATAGCCAATAGGAATCTAGCTATGCATTCCAATGGTGATTTTTTTTTTTTCTCTATTCTGACGGCGTGCGGCACAATAAGGCTCCGACTGTTTAATAATCAATATGTGCTCTACAGCAGAGCTTACGATCTACATATAAAAGTGGGTTGTAATTAATAATAAAAAAAGGTTGGAGTATTCCTTTGAAAAAAAATTACTATTATTTTAGAAAAAAAAATATTTTTATCAACTACCTATAAAATCTACATATAAAAATGGGTTGTATATAATTTTAAAAAAAGTTTTATTTTTCTTTTGAAATAAAATTACTATTTATTTTTTTCAAAAGAAAACTCAAACCTTTTTTTATTATTATTATTAATAATAATTACAACCCATTTGTATATGTAGATAATAATAAAAATTTTATTTTTTTTCCAAAAGAAAACATAAACCTTTTATTATGATTATTATTATTAATAAAACCCTCGGCTTGTGTTATATGGTTTGCTATTTTAGCTGTTACAGCAGTGGTTCTCAACCTGTGGGCTGCCCTGTGATTTCTGCTGTGCTAGGTGAGAGTCCTCCTCAGCCCTCAGCGTCATCCCTAACTTTTACCGTTGGGTGTCACCACAACTTGGCAAATGTTACCAAGGGGTCCCGTCCCTAGAAAGGTTGAGAACCACTGTCTCAAGGGATAAAATGACAAACTGTTCCTCCTTATTAGTAGAGAATAGGGTCTGCGAGGAGTTTGTGATAACCCTGACTGTACTGTGTTGGCTGATTTCATTATAAATGGTGACGCACGTTTGGACACTGTGGAGGGAATTTCTCGTAGCAATTGTGAGTGTTTGAACTTGTATATGGATAGAGGGGGAAATCCTCCGCATACCTTGCAGCCATCAAGGCCTATGTAGACAATGGTGCTTGTAGTGATGAACACGGATGGCACCATGCAGACACAATGTAGGAAGAGGAATCGCCAGCACTCAGTAGAATAATCCTACGTGTCCATTTATTGGACATAGACGTCACACAATCCCAAGAACCAACGTTTCGAGACCAAGCAGGGGCTCTTCATCAGGGCATAAAGAGTCACTCTCTATGCCCTGATGAAGAGACCCTGCTTGGTCTCGAAACGTTGGCTCTTGTGATTGTGTGACGTCTATGTCCAATAAATGGACACGTAGGATTATTCTACTCAGTGCTGGCGATTCCTCTTCCTACATTGAACTTGTATATGGTCGCATGGGATTTATTTGCGCCAGATGTTGCTAGTGTAATGTTGTTCATAAATGAGATTAAATAGACTCCAGGAAAGAAGACTCCTAACTCCAGGCAAAAAGCGTAACGGTCACTTCTTGAAGTGGTCATGGGGACTTCTTAAGTAGCGATTGTTTTTTTGGGTGATGCTCCAGTTTCAGACAGCCCCAGAACAAGTGCAGATGTAAACAGTTGTGAACATTTCCAAAACACACACAATCGGGAAAAGAGTGCATGGTAAAAGGAGCGGCTAAAATAGATTTGCACATAAAAAAAAATATCTAAAAAGGCTAAAAACACTTGCAATAGCTTTGATAAATTCCCCCCTGCCTGTCCTAAGGGTTAAAGGATTACAGCCCTGGCTAATGTATTGTATATGAACGACATTAATGAGAGAAACAATGCACAATTTCATTCCCAAGTCTATAAGAACAGATCACTGTGAAGGTGCTCAGAAAAATGTGTATTCAGCCATTTTGCCGGTTGCAACAAAACCTCTAAAAAGGGGAAGAAATGTTTTAGGTATGCTGCGTGAATAGAACACAGAACATATAGAGGGGTTTTCTCAACTGTGACTGCAAAAGTGGAAATACACTATAACGGTCCCTATAGAAGTCATACAGTTCACAACCACCAACAACAGTCACATAAACAGTCCTTCCTCACAATGCTACCCCTCAAAATACCTGTCGTCAGAAAGGTTGGTCACTGTGCAACTCTGGAAAGGGGAACCCGGCTTCATTTACACTATGAGTTTTTTCCTTGCCTCTCCGGTTGGACATATGCACCCAAGTAGAGAATAGGCGTTAAACCTTAAAAATGCATTCAAGTACCCTAACTATTAACAAAAATGTCCTTCCATGACTGTGCTTGTTCACTGTACAGCATCCATGGCAGAGCAGCATTGCCACCCTAGGTCAGGCAATGTTAAGACTAAAGAACATCTCCAACTCTCCATCACATAGAGGACGGTGTTCTGTAGTTCACAGAGATAATCTGGTTAGGAAGATAAGACTGCTTGAGGTAACAATGCACTGTGGCTCGAAGAGCACTAGGTTCCTGCAAAGATCAACATTGTTTTGTACTTTTAGAAAAAATGCTTTCAACTGCGTATTAAACAGACCGAAAAGGACCAAAAAAAGAAAAGTTTATTGTTAGCGTTAACTTTAAAACAGAGGTTACCTCTTGGTTTCCCAAAACAGAATGGCGGGGTGGGATTCTCCCTTTCCGGTCCATTGTATTCTGAGAGCACCTAGACAGTGTCTGCAGCTGAGTAAAATGCAATTTTGCCTAGTTTTGTTAGCTTAGTAAGAGGAGGGTTGCTGAGTGATTGCTGAAGGTTAATGCACTTTATGTGCAGTCAATATTTTACTGCATAAACCTGACATTGTTTTCCCTTACGGCAATCTTCAATGCTTTATAGCTATAATATCGGAACAAGGAATTACATAGACAGATGGCTCCCTCTTATGGCAAGTTTTGGAACTTCTGGTAATATCATTATTGTGTTCGGTATTTCAAAGGGCACTCAGGCAAACTAGAGTTTTAGAGCAATTATTAGAACAATGAAAAATGCATTGTGATAAGTATTGTATGGTGCACTTTGCACATAAGCCACTCATATATATTGGACTCTGATTTTTATTCAATCTCCTTTAGCTTTACTATTAAACATACTGTCTTACCTAAACAGTTAAAAAAATGTATCCAAATTAGGCAAGCCCTTGAACTCAAAAGTGAGATAGATGGATAGACTGTCACTATCCAAAGTAGTATCTGTTGCATCAGTGATAGCGTCTGAATAAGTCTATGTCTGAATGGAGTCAGATGGATGTCTTCCCACAAAATGGAATCAATGGAATTGGCTGCAGGAAGCAGTGTGTATGAACAGACAACAGCAGAGCACTGACCAAGCCAACGCCTGTGAGAAAAGGTCGAGTCTGAGCAAACCAAAGAAATTGCCAGGAAGCTGAACAATTTTCTCTTGTGTTGATATGATGCTGAAAATCCCATGCATGGGAAAACCTACAGTAATGTTCGCTGGTAATTAATAAGAGCCCAGTCACACCAGGGTGGTTGCGGATCAGCGCGGTTACCACTCTGATCTAGCATGGGAGGTTTTGAATTAATTAAAAAACGCCCAAAACTGCACTTATCAGCGCAGTTTCATTGAAACCTGTATGGAAACCGCACTGATCACTGCAGCAAAATAATGCAGGGAGCAGTTCTGGCGGGGGGCACCCACGCAGTCACATGAACGGTCTTCATAGCAATGTATGGGATCGTTCACGTTGGCGAATCCACGTGGCCGAACCGCCCCCCGTGTGAACGGGGTCTAAAAGTGGGCACAAAGGCAAGTTGGCGAATGGACGCTAATATCAAGACACAGAGCTACTAAAATGAACTTCCATCTCCATGTTTCAGTTTTTAATGAGCACATAACCTCATGAAATGGAGTGGGGGTTTTTTGATCTTTGATGTTATCCACTTTGCATAGTGTGCAAAGTGCAAAATAAGTATATCTGCCCAGAGTTATCCACATTGCTTAGCAAACAAAATGATGTAATGACATGTGACGGAAGATTGCTGTAAAGCAGACAGAACATTCGGAAATCATTTCATGTTGGTTACTGAGGAAGAGGGTCTCAGATGTGAAGCAAGCAGATCTAGATTAAACAAGTATCACCATAAAACAAGTTCATACCTCTGATTGTACATCCCCCGATAGTTGTAGTTGGTGCGGTGGTTTGGAAGGGGTTTAGGATCTAAAGGCCTGTAAATGGCAGGCTCACCTCTCTTCATAGCCAGACCATTCAGCTCAACCGTTGGTGTAATGCTTCCTGAAAAGACATCAGGCAAATAAAAGCGGGTGTCATTTAACTACAAAGCAAAACATTGCACTGCATTCAACTAACTAAAGGAATGTATACATCTTTTAAATTCGGGTGGGTTATTTTAATTGCCTTCAATCTACTTAGAGTGGAACACCTACCTAAAATGTTTTGTAGCTTTAAATAGAATGAGAAAGGTAGAACCTCGATCCGGTTTCTATTACTATGCCCATACTGGGAAGATTCCCCCTCTCCACAAACATTGATGAACAGGAGTAAAGGAGATGTGATCCAATGAGGACTTTTGTTCTGGTGACAACTGTCAAAAGATAGGATTTCCCCTGACTTGTGTTTCTGGGAACAGGAATGCAGAAATAAAAGACCTCCCAGAAGTTCCAAACCTTCACCACTCTATAGAGAATTTAGGAAAATGGCTGGAGATAGACTTCAACAATAGTTCCAGGAGCAGAGATCCAAGAAAGGCTTTCTACATCCCCCATTGCCTTGCTTTTTAGTATACAATACATGGAAATAACAACATGGGTCCTGTGACTGTGCTGCTTAACAATATATAAAAGCTGAGGAGGCAAGTAAAATCAACAGTGGAGGGTGTCTCCTTTGCGAACGGTGGACGTTTGAATTGGATTTTCTACTTTTAATATGCAAGTGAGCTATCCCTTTGGATGCCATTGACTGCCTGGCACACTCGAAGTATCAACAGTTTAGTGCCTGGAAAAAGCATCTCCAAGGTTGCTGCCATGTCCAACACATTCAATGAGTTTCCAAGCCAGTGCTGAGCAGGATGGACTCCCAAAAGGAACTACCGAAAACCAGATAGGGGTTGCCATTGCTGAAGATACATGTTTCAGGATTTTAATCTCTACCCTTACTTCACTACTACCTCCAGCCAATGCCAATGAGGAAATAGTATTGTTTGTATGACAGCCCCCCCATCAGTCATTTACAAAATGCCGGTTGTTGAATACCTGCATCAGCTGGAATTACAGTAAGCGCTGCACTATCCAGGATTAATTAAAATAGTGATATGAAAAAATACTGGGCATGGGATATACCTCAGAAGTAGTAAGTATTGTTTACTCACACAAATTAAAAAGAAAAAAAAAAAAGGAAATAGATATGATTGGAATTCTGCATACCACCTACAAAAGGTGAAACCATTCTATGCTGGCTGCAGCATATGGACAGAGCTGGGAATGCTGTAATATCACCATTGAGAAAGAAATAAAGTGATTTAAGAACCCTACTAATATAAACTACCCTTTAGCTCATTTGCGTTTTTAACTAAAGTCCTTCTAAGTTCAGCTACACGAATGATCAGCCACATGCCAGTGGAAGACGCGTATTTGGCTTGTAATGGCAGTGACCGCTCTGCACAGATTGAGTGAAGTCTGCATTCTAGAAAAAGTGTTGTCACCCTCTTAACGTTAACGTGCAATTCCACGTTGCTAGCCGAATGGGGATAACACTTATTTTATATTTGATACATGTTCTCATTGACATAGCATAAGCTTAAAAAAAATATTTAAAGAGAAATTCCAGGCAAATTTGTTTTTAACCTTTGCGGCGCAGGTTAAGTGCACTCGCATGAACCGCAGAGCCGGCTGCCTATACACTTTGTATTGAACGTAATGACTCAAGGATCCTTAGACCGCTGCAGTGGAGGGGGAGAGACGCTCCAGAGACTGGTCAACGCTCCAGTGAGCAACTCGGCTTCGAGGATTGCGGGAGTAAAACTTTTTTCTTTTTTTTAGCACCTAGACGGAAACGAGCACTTAACTCTTAGAGTGCAGGGGTAGCCTCACTACATTTTCCCAGAGCTTTGCTTTAAAAATGCTTCTTGCACTTTAAATTGTTTTTACTTGGGTTAAAAGTTTTTCTTCTAAAGGGTTAACATTTCTACTTGGTTTCTCATCCTTTGTATTGTTAGGACCGGCTTTGAGGGTGTTTGCATTAACCCTGTCTGTACTGTGCTGGCCGATTTCCTTATAATTTGTGGAACACTGCCTGTCCTAACAAAAGGGTTCAAGGATTACAACTCTGGCTTCTGTATTCCATGTGAATGAAGATAATGAGAGAACACAATCCACACAGTTCTGACCCAAGTCATTCTAATAAAAGACACATAACTATGGGCTGCAGGAGCCCAGAACTGACAGCCCAGGGACCGGAAGTGATGCAATCTGCATCGCTCCCAGGCCCATAGAACGGGTAGGGGATCGATGAACGGAAGTTCGTGTCGACCTCCTCCCCAGCTCCCCGCGGACACCAAGGACACCGGTCCCGGACCAGTAGGAGGGGCAATGGGGCCCGGGAAGCACGGCGGCAGTGTCCGGCGGGGGGGGGCCTTCTTCGGGACACAGAAGCGATCTGGCGACAGGTAAGTCGCCAGAATCGCTTCTGTTGTAAAGCCGACAGTCGGCTCTACAAGTTTAAACAGACTCCCGGCGGCAAAAGTCGCCGGGAGTCTGTTTAAACAGCCCCGATGCTGGCGACGTACACTGTACGTCGTCAGTCACGAAGGGGTTAAGAAAGCAAATGGCACAGCAAGAGAGTCCCCGTGGGGTGAATAACGCAATACGCTTGTAGAAGAATCTGCTGCATGAGCCACTTTCCCACGTTTGTAGCCTGTGTGGCACCCATTGAACCCTAATTGAATGATATTTAGGTTGCTCTCCTGTGCCTGGAGGTCTTCTTTATTACAATAAGTTACATAAACAATTACTTATGACCTTCTGATGAAGATGTTTTCAGACATTTCACTGGGTCAGTTTTTTTTAAAAAGAACCCCGAGAGGTACATGGATGCCGCCATCTCTGAGCTCTCCTCCCAGATATATTAGTTGCCCGGCTGCCATGCTGACCACAGTGCTTCAAAAACCTTGAATTGTTAACCCCGATCCACACTCGGGAATACCAATGGAAACGCACGGCAAAACGCCTGAAAGAAGCTCCTGTACTTTTTGGGGCGTAGGGCGTTTTTCAGCACCCAGGTGGGAACCATGCCCATAGGAAAGTATTGGATTTCACTTGCTGGGCGTTTTACAGCGTGTCGATCAGCGCTGTAAATCGCCTAGGTGTAAACCAGGCCTTACTGACCTTAAACATGTATTCATAAATAGACTTGAGTTTTTTTTTGTTTTTCTTCTGACGGTCTACATACTTGATCCAGTCCAGTGACTTGGAATTCGTTAAATGTTCAAGAGCAGCTGTTGTTAAAGTGTTTAAAGACTGGACTGTCAGCCAAAAATCTGGGTCTGAACGTGCGAATTGTGTCTGCGACTAGTCACTGTTAGGGCAGAACGGAGAGTGGCAAGACTGGTACAAGACAACAGAAGGGCAACAGTGCAGTGTCAGATTCCTCGCATCACCTTTCAACATCTCGTGGCGGCCCGACGAAGTCACCTCGTGGCCCAACGAAGTACTGATGGGGCGGTCATAATAATCTGGCCACTCACTGCACACACACAGTGTATGTGTATACATACATACATACATACATACAGTAGTTATTTTTTTTAAAAAGGGACAAAATCACAGCCCCTTAATTCTTTTACGTCTGTAGGAAATAACTCAAATGATCGTCTTCACTGACCCTTTCAGAATTTGAATGAATAGCGGTCATCAGCTATTCATGTACAGGGGACTGCAGGGGGACCCTTCTGTTATAAGCTTTTGCGATCCATGAGCTTATAGCAGAAGGGTGAAAGCCACCGACATAAGGCATACTGACGCGGCCAGCTGCAAACAGTTGTGTTCCACCGTATGCCCTATGCACCATAGTCAGTGGCAGGGAAAGGGTTAAAAGCATACCTCAAGTGCACTGACCCAAAGAAAAAAAAAAAAAAAACATGAAAGGAAGATTTCCCCAGCTTAGGAAACTTGTTTCTACCCGACATCAACATCTTCAGTGATAAAAGGTTTCTATGACATATTTCATTCAGCCAGTTCAGGCTGCGCACACACGCACACGCGCACACACACACACATCACATATTTGGTATCAGTCATACATCACTATACACGTGCCCATGGTTTGGAGTTTTTGATAAATACTGCTTGTAAGAAGGATTGTCCTATTTGCATTCACGTCATCGGTTGCTCTAATGGAAAATGATTGCGCAGTCGGGTAAAAGGGTGTGAGAGTGACACACAGGATCCTACCAGCAGGGAAGATGACAACTGTCAGGTGTATTACACAATGGTATGAGCAGGTACAAACAGAGCCGTGTTTTTATTCACCACCACTTTATACTGGCTTTTCATACTAACAAATGCAGCAGTTTAGAGAGAGGATGAAGGCATTCGTGTAAAAGAGGGGTAGCCAAACTTTGGTCCGCCAGCTGTGGTGAAACTACAATTCCCATCATGCATCTGGGAGTCATGCCTGTGACTGTCAGTCTTGCAATGAAGTAAAAAACAGCACTGTGCTAAAAACTCAAAAACATGTTTCAGCGTTGAAACGCAATTAAAAACGCACAAAAACGCGCTTGAAATCTATATGGAAAACGTGCTGATTAGCTTGACAAAAGTAGCTCGTGGAGCATTTTGGGCGACAGGAGTTTTGGATCACGCGCTTGCATAAACAGTCCCCATAGGAATGTATGGGATTGTTCATATAGGCATTTCAGCGTGGAAAAATCCGTGCGACTGAAACGCCCTGGTGTGAACGAGGCCTAATAGATATTACGTTCAATCATTCAACTTAACAAGCGTATCCGCCTGTATAGTCTATTCCTTCTAATAAAGTGCAATGTGCAAAGACATACAAGAGTCTTGCAATGCCTAATCGGAATTGTAGATTCACTACAGCTAGAGGGAGGAAGTTTGGAAGTTAAAGGACCAGTATCGACAGACTTTTGTTTGCATCATAACTGCTTATCTGCCCAATGCAAGCCTTTCAAAATGCAAATGCAGATCGGAAAGATGATAACTACAGGTGAAATGCACCCATCAATAAATTCTTCATCTTAGAAGGGCCACAAACGGGTG